AGATAGTTGCTGTGCTTGCCAAGCGCTTTTGTGGCGTTTGTTACTCTCCTGCAAATTGCCCTCATTGTATCGTTCAGAGTTTACCGACAAGCATATCAGAAGTGCAGTCACCCATTTCCCGTACCCGGGCACGTTATCGTGGGTAGCTTGTAGAAATGTTACACAATAGTACTGCCGACTAAAGAGCAAGTTTATTAGTGTTTATTGGCAAGGTCAGAAAAACTGGAGCGGCCAGTTCTGGACTTTCTATCGGCAGCCGCTAGTAATAATAGCACTTCGGACTGCATAGTCGAGATGCGAATCTGTAAAATATCGAGCAACGTTCTGATCACTGAACTAACAGGCAATTGGGATGAGGAGTATTCAGTTAGATGCGGTGGCGTGAGCATTTGCGCTTTGTCTCGGAACGGTTTGCATGACGCCAAGGCAGGCGGCGCCGGCACAGGGACTATAATTGAGAAATGTTCACAGAAAAGGAGTTAGATACTGATTTGTTGGGTTTTCTTGAGATTTCTTCAGGGGTTAATATTTCCTGTACAGAGTGTGTCCGGGTATTTCTACTTTTTGTATTGCGGTGGCTTATTTAACTTTTTCTTATTTTGGAGACACCGTTTTCTCGTCCTTTACACCTGTGCATACTCCTTCTTTACCAGTTAGCGGTAGGACTCCTCCAGCTTTCGGTTTACGTGGAATTTGTTGCTTTAATTCAATATCTATAAAGGAAAGCTATTAGAGTAGGGATTGCGTAGCTTCAGTTGCTGCCACACAGGCCAAGAGAAGAAACGACAGCAACCGGGTCCTCAGTTTAATCGCCTTGATTTTAATTTCAAGGCTACGTCAGAAGTTGGTAGAAGATACAGAAACTGTTAAAAAATGGGATCTAGGTACGCTGCCTACAACTTAAAAAAAGACGGCGGACGTAATGCAATCGAATCTGTTTATTTTTCAATCTCTTATGTTTGCTTTTTGCTCTCAGCCTGAGTATCTATTTCCAGAGAAAGACTTGGGTAGAAGACCTTTACTTGATGATTACGTATACTGGATTTGGGTGTTTGTGGCGAGAAGAAATAATCGACCACAGAGCATTGTTTATGGAATGCCTAGTAATTAACTTGCATTTTGTTCCTCATGCGAAAGAAACTTTGCCTATTTGCTTGAAAGCACTCGACTCGTGAATCTTTCCGAGCTAGATGAGCAGATAACACCACCACCACCACCACCACCACCACCACCACCACCAGGGAACCACAAC